TTGTTTTGGTGCCTGTCCTGGATCTTGCTCTGTAGACCAGGCTGGCTTCGAACTCACAGAGATCCACCTGGCTCTGCCTCTCAAGTGCTAAGATTAAAGGAGTGCGCCACCGCCGCCCAGCTTTATATCACTTCTTAAATGTTTTTTCTTAATATGTGAAGCCCCCTCCACTTTTTAAATGGGATAATTGTTAGAAATCCCTCATTTTAAAGAGAGAGGTGTTAGAAATGAAGCTGGAGTAGGTGGGCCAGATCTTGGGGAACTTTGTCGTGTTGAGAGTCTGGAACTTTCAAACAGCTGCGAGCATCGAGCATCGCTAACTTTAAAGCTGTTGTGCAATCAGATTTACATATTTGGAGTGGCGATGCAGGCAGTTATGAGCCAACGGATGAGAGTGCCCAGACCAAATGCGGGTCCTCTGCAAGATCAGTATGCACTCTTACCTGTTAAACTCTCTCTGGGGCTTCCAAGTTTGAAGATTTTTATTTCTGTTATGTGTTTAGTTTCTTCCAGTTGTGTTGAGGCAGGGTGTCCCTCTAGAGTCGGGGACTGGCTCCAGAACAGAATGAAGGGGTGGGTAGGATGAGGGGGATGGGAAGTGAGTATGTGGCCTCTTAAGCTGAACAGTGCAGGTGTTCTGGGTGGAGTTTTAACAGTGTCTCCACAAAATCCATTTGTGTTTGGTTCGGGGCTTGTCCTCTTTTCCCTGAGTCATCCTGAGTCTTGGAGTCTGTAGCCACTCTTGACTGCACAGTCCCGGCTTTGACATGGTCTCTGGATGAACTCGGATAGCTCCACACACTGAATCGACTGGTGGTTGGAGCCCTGGTTTGCCATTTCTCCTACAACCATATGTCCTGTAGCTTTTTTCCAATTCTGATGTTACTGTGTTCTCACCCTCACCCAAAATTATTACCGTCTTCTAATGGGCTGCAATTGGCTGCTTGTCCTCTACTAAGCTTACAGCATGAGCTCTAATTTGTTTTTTTTTTAAACAACACATTGTCCTGTGACACCTTAAGCTGTCATTACTCTTTTAGATTTGTTAATTGGTTAATTTACTTGTACATTCATCAATCTACCCAGGAGTCATCTTGTGAAACACACACTCTACTGAGGAAGCTAAAAATATCAAGTCAAGGTCTCTACCTTGTGATGAATGCAGAAAACCTATACACAAACAGGTTTATTTCATTCCATATGGCAAATACAATTAAGGAAGCATAGGACAAGAAGAAAAAAAATGTCAAGTCTGGAAACTCATTTCAAGTGAGCAAAGATGTGGAACCTGAAACAAGGCACTGGGGTGGGGGTGTTAACAGCCCATCATTTTAAAGAGAGAAAGGCTGGAAGTAAAGCTGGAGTAGTGGGCCAGAGCACAATGTTAGGAGTCTCGAGCTTAACTTTTCAAACAGCTGGGAGCATTGGAACTTTGTAATCTGATCAGATTTACATATTTGAGAAACTAGCCTTGGGTGGAGGATTTTTTTGGGGGTGGGGATGGGGATACAAATCTACAAGCTAGCTGATTAGTTAGGGAAATGAGGAAATAAAGTAGGTGAGAAAGAACAGGGGCCAGAGTTCAGTTCTACTTCATACATTTGGAGAAGAAGAAACACTGAAGATGTATGTAAAGGGCAGACTGTCGGGACATCAAAAGGTTGTGGGATGTCAAAGAGAACAGAAAAACGAAATAAAACAAACAAACAAACAAAAAACCCAAAGCATCTTCCTGCTTTCCAGATGCCTTCCGGATGTGACCAACCAGATGCTTTCCAGATTTCCAGATGCTTTCCAGATGACTTCCGGATGTGACCAACCATCCCTCAGAAAAGCAGGTGTACCTGTCCAAAAGACAGCTGAACTGACGCTCAAGGGCCAGGGCTGAACTAGAAATATATACTTGGGAGTCTTTTGTTTTGTTTTTCGAGATGGGCAGGGTTTCTCTGTGTAGCTTTGGCGCCTGTCCTGGAACTCACTCTGCAGCCCAGGCTGGCCTCAAACTCACAGAGATCCGCCTGCCTCTGCCTCCCAAGTGCTGGGATTAAAGGCGTGGGCAACCACCACCCAGCATACTTGGGAGTCTTGAGTGTAGAGAAAATATTTAAAGTTATGGGACTAAGCAATTTTCTTGAAGACAGTGGATTGATACTAAAGGATAGATGGAATCCTAAGGAGTGGTCACATCTTAAAAGTGGACTGTGGGAAAGACGATGAAGAGCATAAATAATATCAGGAAGGTATAAGACAAGCGGGGTGTGGTGGTCTGTAATCCTAGCACTTGGAAGGCTGGGGCAGGAAGGTGGTGAGTTCGAGTCTAGCCTCAGCTACGTGGTGAGACAGACAAAAGGGGAGGCGGTCATAATGAGAACCTGAAGTGCTTCCTACACAGTACATTGAATTTGAAGACAGAGGAATCAGCACTGTCAAATGTAGCATATATTTCCCAGAAAATGGTCGCCGGGTTTAGTGATAATGTCACTTGAAGAGGCGTAGCAGGACGGGTAACCTGGAAACCGGATAGAGTGGAGGTTGAGACAGGAATGGGAAATTAAGAAGTGACTATAACACATAGCTTTCTTGTTCAGGAACTGTATGGAAAGACAGCTTGAGTAGCCGTGCCTTCCCACCTCAGGTTGTTCTGGTCACATGGCAAGAAAGGTCTGACAATCTGACATTGGTGTTCAGTAAAGATTAGATACATGAGTCTAATCATGTGGCACCAAGCCCTTAAGGTTTTGCTTAGTGATTCTTCCTTGACTATATCGTTCCCTTTAACCCTTTTCTTTCTTGTCTTGTTTAGTGCTGGAAATGGTTTAGGTGCTGAGATTCCTGTAGACTCCTTCATATCCCATTTTGAAAAACTGGCTCAAGCCACTTCCTGCTTTGCTCATTAAAACAATAATAGCTGTTATTTACATAGCAATCAGGATCTGTCAAGAAAGGCTGTGTGCCTTAAAAACAAAACAAGAAATGCTGAGTATATGAAGTCTGTCATGATGTTGTTGTAGTAATACAGTTGTGATCGTGTTCATCTCCCCCAAATTTAATGTTGTTGAACAAAGCTGTAACAGATGGGGGAGGCTGGGTTTCCAGAATCAAAGACTGAACTTTGTATCCTGTGGCCTTTGTGAAATTTTATTGAATGACTAACTAGTTATTTCATGGGCCCTCACACTCGGAATGATTGCCCAGGAAGGCATACTGAAGAAGGGCTTACAGACTCTTGCATCAGTCTAAGATCTTAAGCTGCCTCATGCTTGCTTCCAAAAACTTGGAACTTTACTTACTTAGTATTCTTTTCTTGCCCTGTCTCTCATTTTTGATGGCTGAGTACTTGGTCACAAGAAAGCTAGACATCCAAAAGAGAAGAGACTCTGGGAGTCTCTGGTATGTTTGAGACAGGGGCCATGCTTAGGGGGTTTCAAGAGTTTGCAATTCAGTGTAGAAATACGAAAAAGAAAATGTTATCAAATGTTTCCTACAAATGTTGAACGTAAAGAGTGCAGATTATTTCTGCAGTATAAAACTTTCAACCCACTCGAATGTATACACAGAAGTAGGATATTTATGGAAATGATCACGCTTGCAATTCCATGTTTAGTTTCTTGAGGAATCGCTACTATTTTCTAAATTCGACGAAATTATTTTCCTCAATTCTTTTAAAGTCAAGGCCTTGCTACATAGGCCCCAACTTGTTAACACTAGCTGTCCCTACATCCATGAAAGGGTGGTTTTCACCTTGCTCTGGATGTGAAATGTGCCTAGTTCGCACAAAACACAGAAAACACATTATTTCATGAATAAAAGTGAAATTTGAGTACACGTTGAGCTAACATCTTCCCTATACTGGTTTAGTAAAAAAACACTTATTTATCATCTATTTAATTATTCATTTACAATAAGGCCTAATTCTAGCTAGGCAGTTCCGGAAGTAAGTAGCTCAAGCTGTCTTCAAAGTTGAGCAATCCTCCTGCCGCAGCTTCTGGAGTGCTGGGAATATTATGGGCGTAAACGGCGACGCGCAGCCCGTTTGGAAACCAATTTCACCTGTTCCCTTTCTAGATGGCACAGCCACTAGAGAATTCAAAGTCGTTCGTGCGGCTGTGCTCCCCAAGATGAACACCCTTTTGGCTTTCGGCGGCCACAGCACGGCGGACACGTAACCCAGGCTCGATTTCCTCGTAGGGAGTCGGGGTTGAGTCGGTGTGAGCTCGGGGGCGGGGAGGGCAGCACAGGGAAAGCCGGGAGCCACGGCTCCGGAGAAGGCTTCGACCCCGGAAGGACCCCGGAAGGAAGCCTGCCGGCCAG